TCCAGGCGCTCAGCGAGATGTTTAATAACACCGAATTGGACACCGTGCGCAAGTACGGCGGCAACATGCATAGGGAGCATCTGGAAGAACAGGACGATGCGAGCATGCAGCACAAACCCAGACTGCTGATCCAGGACCAATCGACCTTTGACGTTGACAGGGCGGAGAAGCCAGCGATCAACAAGGCAGACGGCAGGCTGTCTGGCCCATACAAACACGTAAGTGGCTGCCGTTTCTACTTGACAATGCGAGGAGACTGACATAATTTAGTACCTTGTTGTGCGCCCGGCGCCTTCCCTGCGTATCCTCTTCACATCCCCATCTCTCCGTGTCCCCGGCATTCTCCAGTCGCGTTTCCTCGATCGCATCGGCGGAAGTAACCGGGTCCGAGACTCCCTCAGCGACGCGCTTGCAGATGGGTCGCGTGGTGTCACAGCGAAGATCCGCTGGCTGCCGCACGCCGTATCAGACCTCGAAGACTCTTACGAAGAGGGCCGACCCAGGTGGATACACTGCACCCCTCTGCTCGGACAGAACGGGTCTGTGGGCGTCTGGATGGTAGTCCTCGTTGACGAGAAGGAGCACTCTGCGCCGCATCGCAGATTCCGCCAAGCACCGCCTATCCCCAACGACATCCGCGGCAACAGCTTAACGGGAGACAGGCGACCCTACCAGACCCCTCGTTTCGATGAGTATGGCAACGATACCAGTAGCCAGCGTACCCCCTCACGCGGCGCGTCTCCTTATGCGAACGGCAATGGCGTGTCCCGTCATTACGACAATTTGCGCAACCCCTCGACTCCGACGCGAGCGCAAAGCCCAATGACTTATGATCAGCGTGGAATCCGATCAGGCGCGTCGTCGGTCAAAGACTATGTCAACGGGGCACAGGCTAGTGTTGATTCTTTCCGCATCTAGCACTGCTGATTCCCTTTCAGGAAGAGGAAGAGGCAGCGTTAGGAACGGCAACACCGGTTCGCATGGAGATAAGAGACGGCGCAACAAGAATATACTGAGAGCAATACGTCATGAAGAGTGTTGAGACTGAGAACGAGATGGTCGCATATGAAAAGAAGATGAAGGATATATAGACCGGGTGGTCGGGCTGTACTGCGCTGTTGTTCATCTGCTCTATACCCATTCTGTAAACGTAACTTAAGCATAGCATCGATAGCGGCGTTCATTTTCATATGTCCATAATTCTTAATATACATCACAAACAAGATCAAAGTAATAGGCAAGTGATAGGGCGCATTGCGCAAGAGCAGGCCAGCGAGTGTAAGCGAGTCTTCGCCGCGGGAGTGCCGCCATGCATCATCCCTCCAACACGTCGCATCAACAACAACCCCACCACCACCCCCGACGTGTCGCTGCGTGCCCAAACACACCCCATCTCCCACCATGGCGACAGTACGACCAATGCGCCCAACTGATCTCCTTCGGGTATCTCAATGCAACCTCGACCACCTCACAGAAACATACAACATCGGTTTCTACCTCGAGTACCTGACAAAATGGCCCGAGCTATGCCAGATAATGGAAGGCATGGACGGCGAGATTGAAGGCTACAGTAAGACATCCATGACCCTATGTGTTCCGCCTCATATCAGAGACACGAGATAGATGCTAACACCCCCCAAGTCCTAGGCAAACTCGAATCCTCGCCCTTCGACCCCCCAATAAAACCCTACAAGCCCTCCACAACCGGCGTCCAATACCCCAACTACCTCCCCTACCACGGCCACATCACCGCCCTTACCGTCGCCCCCTCCGCGCGCCGCCTCGGCTACGCAACCGCGCTGTCATCTGCGCTCGAACAATCGTCCGACGCGGCCAACGCGTGGTTTGTGGATTTGTTTGTGCGCCGGAGCAATGAGATTGCGAAGGAGCTGTATCGCAAGATGGGGTATAGTGTCTATCGGGTTGTCAAGGATTATTATAATGATGGCGAGGATGCGTTGGATATGCGGAAGAGTTGTAGTAGGGATGAGAAGGGGGAGTGTGTTAGGAAGGATGGGGAGGAGTGGGAGGTGGGCGCTGAGGATGTTTGGTGAGGGCGTGAGAGATGATGGGCTATATTTTTTGAAGCGCGCGAAGGGTGGTGCGGGACGGGAGGAAGGATGCTGTATATACCCCGGTGCTGTGGAATTGAACGGCGAATGAGGCATGGCGGATGCATTGACATTAGTTACGGGGTAGATGATGTGAGTGAGATGGGCATACATCAATTGCGGCTGCTGACAAGAACCCAGTCCGAACAACCGTGAGAGGATAGTCTCAACGAAGCATAACATCAATTGTTAGCGTAGGAATGGGAAGCTTCCGCTCCTGTCCATCAAAACCCTCTCGACATAATCCTCTCTACAGCCTACAACATACCCTTTCAGCAAGCCTACTCACATGCTTTCCCGCTCACTCACCAATCCACCACAGCCAAACTCTTCAACCTCCCAATCGCAAACCCAGACTCCACCTCTCCTCACTAACCTCCTCCATCCGCCGCAGCCCCACCCTCTCGTAACAGCCAATCCGATCCCAAAACTCACACTCGAAGTAACGTGCCACAACCGCGGAGCGCATCGGTCATACGGGATCTCGACAGCCGGGATGCAACCGTCAGCGTCAAACGAAATTCCCGTTCCCGCAAATACGAGTCTTGGGTTCAACGAGAAAAACGAAAAGGAAATTGCGTTTGCAGGGCTGCTGGCAGTGCGGTGTTGGGTTCGCGATGCACGTTCCCGTCGCAAGACACTTTTGGATGTGTAACCTTGGATGGAGGTACAACCTAAGGACTGGTTGGTCCGTGCTGAGTGAGCGAGCATATCGTAGGAGTGGTCGTCTGATGACGATGGGGATGCGCAGTGAGGGCTATAGTAAGAGTATTTGTCGTGGGGAGTTGTCGAGAGAGAATGAAGGCTATTAATAGATCTCTAGTGACAGTAACATTTCATACAATTTGGCACTTCCTCATCGCAATATTAGATGTAATCAGATGAAGGATGAATCTGGGTTGAATATGTTCATTACAGCGGCTAGCACTAAAGAGAGATGAACGCGACAAGAGCCCTGAATGCTATTGTAGTCCGCAATCGTGTACCTAGGTGGCTACTTTACACCAACACACAATAGAAGAGTAAAAGCCGCGCAACGTATGCATCTATTAAACCATTTGCACTCGTCTTAGCACAATAACCCTTCGGAATAGTCAGTCACATGCCACTTATATTTACTGGCTCATTGAAACAATAGCAATCATTTCCCTCTCACTTCATACCTATTGTGCGGCGCGAGTAGATGCCTGACGCCTAGTGTTGTTCCCATGAGCTTCTCTCACTTTTGACTCACAATCCCTATTCCCACAAACACCGAATCCGTACCCACACCGCCAAGCCTCTGGTCGATATAAGATCTCAGAGTCGGAGTAGCTGCCATCCTTCTACCTTCTACCTACTACCTTTAATCTTCTACCTTACATCTCACACATTACGACCAACTTCCACTCCACCCACTCGCCCGCCGACCACTGATGCCTGGATTCCAAATCAAAATGTGTCTCAGCATCAACTTCTCGCCCAGCGCATGGCAAGACCCTCTCTCCATTCAACATTCTTTTATCGAGTACATCCGCGAAGCTGCGTACAAGTATCGTCTCTAATTAGCCGCTTACTACAACATACCTATCAACGTATGCTAAGCCACCTATTCCTCAAACCTAGATCAATTCGCCAACGTCAACAGCAACTTTATACTTTACGTAGGCTTCTACAACTTTAGCACTAACCCTATCTTCGCCGTCTATTGCCTAAAGATCGCAAAGCGTAGACGCAAAAAGGGAAAAGTTATAAAGAGAGCAGTGCAGGTATAGTTAAGGAACAAGTTTATACCGCTTGTGCGTTTCTTTAAAGCTAAGTTTCCTCCGCTTAATAGGCTAGTAGCGGACAAAATCATATACTAGTAGTAGCATGCTAACAGCAATACCTTTAATTAGACCTTACTACCTACTAAGGTTAAAGAGCAAATCCTCATGTTCTATATACATTGTTCTCCGCCGCTACCTGTCTAGAAGAAGTCTAGAGGCCGCGTCTGCTATATTAAGCAAGGCGCACCTAAAATTATTAGCTAGTTAGGTAAATAGGCTTCCCTACTTACCGTGTTATACTAAGTTCGCGCAATTAGTCTTCGCCTATACTTCGCGGGAAGCAGAGACTTAAAGTTTAGCAACAGCCTATACATCGTAGCTAAAAGCTTATTCAGCTTTAAGCGCAGCATTTGCAGACTAGACAAGCATCGTCAATTAACAGAAGTGAACAGTCTTCCAACCAATAACAAGAACTAGGAGCTCGAGCAGACGTACAAGTCTTTTCCAAAGCTTTACCCACACCTAAACCAATACGCAACCTTCTACTACAGTATCCAAAAGATATACCTCTAACTCTCCTTTATTAACAGACTATATTTCTTCAAAGTAACCGCTAGTTCTTTCGCGCAACACCTAAAGCTACGTCAACTTAGCTACAAAGTGTTTAAGACAATTTCACACTTAAATAAGTTAATATTTAAGCTACTAGATGCTACTAGATATCTAGAAGATAATTTCCAACAGCAGCTAGTTAGCATCTTTTATAGCGAACTATTTAATTGTCCCTGTACTCTGCACCGACTTATCTACGAGAGCGCGGCTAAGGTTTTGGCCCCGTACAAGGTCGTCAAGTTTCACGGGTTCATGGACGAGGAAGAGCAGGTTCGATTCTTGAAGCTCCGCGACGTCGCTAAGAAGAGTTTAAGGATTACTACTGAAGAGCTGGAAGAGCTATATAAGGAAGAAATGGGGGGAATAGAGCTGGGAGAAAGTGTTGTTCCTGGCGTTGAGAAAGAAGAGCTTGTGAAAGAGGTGCGCGATGTCATCTACGATGAGTTTTGGCCGCCCAAGTGTCGCTGTGAGAGGTTGTGCCGAGAGGTCATTCATTCGAGCTATGACTGAGAGCGAGGCAGCTACAAGCCTACCACTTCGTGTTCAGAGCCTTATCATGTAACAGCCGGCTGAAAAACATGAAAGCTGATCCGCTGAGGAGCGCGGCACCCTGTTGATGATCAGTGCTTGCATGGGTCATGTGCTCATAGGTAGAGAGTAGCTTACCGAAAATACGATCAACCATCGATACCCATCCTTTGTGTCATGATCCGTGATGAGTGCACCGCCAATCGGCGTACCAACAAGACTCGCAATGGCGATAACGCTGTAGAAAGCTCCAATGCGTGCTCCCAACTTGTCGTCAGGTGTGATGTGGCCGATTATCGAGGGCGGAAGAGCAGTGACATTGCTAGTCAAGAAGCCGTATACGCAGACGAAGAAAATAAGAGTAGCCATGGAGTTGCCAAGTAGCCATAGGAAGAGACAAAGGCAGCCAGAGATGAGGGTAATGGGCCAGAGTAGGTTCAGCCTGCCAAGTCGGTCTCCTATGAAGCCTCCAAAAGTTGCGCCGATGATGCTGGAGCCGTTCAGCATGCACAAGAAGTAGTCGCTGACTTTGTTACCAGGGTAGACCGAGTTAGCATATGGCTTAAGATAATACGCCGGGATCCAAAGGCCTAGTATGGCAAGCCACGTTCCCATACATAGTACGGCATAGCGTGTGTCGAGGAATCCTTTGAAGTCGATAAGCGAGCCGAGCCCTTTGCGATCCGGTTTGCCACTGGGCTTGCTTGTAGAAATACGTAAAGCAACTAAGTAGCAAACACTGAGACAGTTAGCTGATAGAAGACTGATGCGGCGGCGGTAACATACGCTATCTTGACAGCAGCCAGACGTAGCGAGTTTGGGAAGCCTAATCTCGGCAGTAGTTGATCGAACATCAGCGGGAAGCCAATTCCACCCAGTGCCGACCCTGTAGATACTAACCCCATAGCCAAGGCACGTCGCTCTTTGAAGTGCTGGCCAACTACCGTGACCGCTGGCTGTACACCGAAAGCAATGGTAAAGCCCATCAGCAAGCCTTGCGTCATCAGAACCAACCAAAACTGTCCAGGGTGTATGAACGACAGTATGATGAGGGCCAGCACAGTGCCAGCGCCTGAGCCAAGGTAGAGGTTCTGATTATGGCGTCAGTCTTCTTCAAGGAGTGGCGGGGACGAGTACTAACCGTAACACCATATCGATCGCAAAGAGCACCGGAAAGAGCAGCCAGTAAGTTCATGAGCGCCATCTGAACCGTCCCAATGAATGCGATAGTCGATGGCGGCGTCTCTTTCAGGAAGTCGCTGCTATAATAGTTCTGGAAGAAACCAAAGCTGTTCATAACCCCAAAGGAGGCGTAGTACACCAGTATGGAGCCCAAAACCGTGAGCCATGCCGCACGCCCACCCTCGCGCACCTGTAACTTATACGATTCGGTATCCGTACTGCTTTCCGTGTCGTGACGTCCAAAGGTATCTATGGTCTTTTCGGTCATTGCGTAGACGTTGAGAATGGCGGGCTCAAAGTAAAGATAGAGGTTGATCTGCGTTCTTCACCGGTCCTTCGTCCAACACTATATATAGGCTTCGTTACCATACCACACAATTCATCGACATAATGAGGTCTAGTGGAAATCGAGCTTGCCAGGTCATGAGAGTACGTCGGAAGGGAACAACCGTTTACGTTAGCCGTTCTACCCATAGCCCCAGTGTACGTTTTTTCTGTTGGCTTGGTATGTACGTGATCGTCACAAATCGTGTCGGAAATGTGGGTTCGTGAACCTTGAACTCATGAAAAGGTTGGCATGATCGTCATGAAGCCAAATGCTGTCACTATCGACGGGTCGGTGATCGATTTGAGCATGGCTGTTGGCGACGTAGCAAGAGAACTGGTGGATACGTACAGCTCGGATGTAGCCCGAGACGTTACGTGCGGAGTGTTTTCAGGCCCACTGGCAATGACGCCTTCGACGACAGTAGACATGTCATCTCGGCTGCGGTATGCCTCTTGTGGATATGACTCCAATGAACATGCTAGCCGCTTTGTGCTACACATGACGGAATGCTATTGGACTACTTGAAGCACAGCTCCACCTGTGTATTGACTGATGATGCCCAAGAAGTCGGTCGTTCCTGACAAATAAGTAAGCTGGCAAGGTCAAGATATCATGCATCTGGCATGATGGTCGCGGGCTTCGTTTCCTGTACGTCGTTCATGAGCGACATGCCAAACCTGTGTCTTCCGTTCAGTTGCACAGAAAAGTCAGATGTAATCTCTCCTTACTGTGAAGACTTGGTCGGCACTGTAATAAGCGGTCTCTTTCGCCGAAGTTTATGAATGAGCAGACCCGGCCAGGGATGTTGGGAGGTTATTGCCGTCGCAAGCCAAACGTTCACTGTTATCCGACCAGGCCGTTGGATGCAGCAAGATTTCGGCAAGACCAAGAAGTGTTTCCACGGCGGTTCTGAAGAACAAGTCGTGCTAAGTCCACATGGTTTAACGTTCCAAGGATGTCGTGGCCTCCAGGGCTTGCACCACTGCAGACAAAACGGGACTCCAGAATCGTCAAGAACGCCCGCCTGTTGAACAGTATCGAGGCGAAAGGTATGATTACGAGTGATCTGGGTAGTTATTTCGGTCGGCGTTGTACATGCGGAGAGCGGGCTGTGAGTCCGGATGGAATCAGGGGATGAAGGTGCGATGGCTCACGGGTCAGGCACGGAAATAACGACTAGCGCGACGCTAGTACGGAAGTACAGCAAACCAGCCGTGCCTGCACAGATGCCGACATCACTATCGCATCTTACGAAAGCTGGCACGGTACATATCAGGATGACCGATATCAAAGAGCCCCAGACCACGATGCCTGCTTGGTTCGAAGAAAACCCCTCACACGACCATATTCCTCCCGAGACCCAGCGGCTTCTCGAAACGTGGAGTGGAATCCCATCAGATGACGTACTTGATCATGTTGTCCGACTTCGTGAGAAAGCCTGGAAGGTCCATCCATATCCTTGTATTGGGCAGTTTCGGTTTCTCGATCCCAGTTTCTCCGAGCTCCCGGACGAGCGCAAAGAGATTGTTGAACGCCTACGCAAAGGTCAAAAGCTGTTAGACATGGCTTGCTGCGTCGGCCAGACTATTCGTACGCTTGCGAACGATGGAGCACCGACTGAGAATATGTACGGTTGCGACTTGCAGTCAGACTTCATCGAGCTGGGTTATGAGTTGTTTCGCGATCGAGAGAAGCTCAAGACGAGGTTCTTGATAGCCGACATTTTCGATCCTCAATCAGCGCTCATGGGCATCAAAGGGCAGGTCGACATGGTATATGCCGGATCTTTCTTCCATCTGTGGGGATATGAGAAACAAGTCGAAGTCTCCAAAGCCGTTGTCGCGTTGCTACGCCCTCAACCAGGCTCTACGATACTCGGTCGACAGGTCGGAGCCACCGAGCCCCTCGAGAAGGACGGTCCTACAGGCACGATGTATCGACATAATGTTGAAAGCTTTCAGAAGATGTGGGAAGAGATAGGCAAGGATCTCGGCATCAAGTTCACCGTGGATGCCAAGCTCAAGCCGCTGGGTAAAGACCATCTCAAATTCCATCTGGACGACACTACAAGGCGGCTGTGGTTTGTCGTACGCCGTGGATAGCGCGCTTCATCTCTACACATCGTTCAAGGAAAGCGTTAGACGCCGATTATCAATACATGAACTAAAAGTCTGCGTTGTCTTGTCGTTTCACTAGCTTTCGTCGTTGTACTAATGTGGACTACGGACTACAGCGCACACATTCGCTCTCTTCCTCGCATAATTTGGTTGCTTCCTGGACCGTTCATGGTAACACTCAAACCAAACTTTCCTAAACCTTCCTATGCACCGCTGTCGGTGCGTCCGCCTCGGTCCGTACCTGATCAGGCATAGACTTTAGGTTATTCGAAGTGTCTGGCCCGCATCTTCTAGTACAAAGCCGTACAAATAGCGTGAATTCAGGAAGTCAGATCAGATCTATATGCATCTTAGCGAAGAGGTCTAATGCAACATTCCGCACCAAGTGGACATTGTCGCTATTTTTGCGCAGCAGCACTAACATATTCGCTCAACGCAGTCCAATTTTGCCGGGACGCGTAGGGATAAAGGGTCCAACTACGGCAGCCCTGTCCGCACTTTTACTTTAAGCCTAATTCCCCATACTTTTCGATATTTCGCCTTCAATTTCGAGAAGGTTGCTGATTGGCCAATTCACTCTCGGACCGTAACGTCGGGAAAGCCACCTGCCTGGCTGCAGGAAGAAGTGCAAACTTCTGCTCGGTAAACATCAGTCGATCAAAATCTGCCGGCGGGAGACGGTCACGTTCTCGTGTTCATTTATGGCGGTAGCAGGAATGTATGCGTTCTAGCCCATCCTGACCGAGCCAGAACACCGAGGCAGGCAAGGGGTCTGTCGTTCATCTATCCAAATGAAATGCGAGATGCAATACTCAGCTCAGCCGCTTCGTTAGTGTGGAAATGTTGCGGTCGCAGGCATAGATATTGTCTATAAGACATGGACGTTCAGCATCAATCCCGGTACCAACTCATCCCCCCAAGGTCAACTTTTAGCCAAGGCCAGAAACGACATTATGAAGTTTTCCATAGGTTTGGCGGTAGCCCTCATTGCAAGTGTAGAAGCATCTAGTCGCATAAAGAGGCAGTTCGGATATCCTGATGGTATGGACTCGTTTCACACGTCGACGAATCTTTCTAACACCGTCATTAGTGGAAGATTGTGGATTAGATGCGTTTGATGGGCATACGTCTGAAGCGGCACTCTTCTGTAGCAACATCCTCCGCTCAGGAACCGCAACTTCTACCATAACCAGTGGCTACACCACCACCACTACTACCACCCGGAAGACCACGGTAACCGTCCGGCCGACACCTACTTCAACACCGACGCCCAGCGCCACCCCTAAGCCAACCCCATCGTCTACGCCGAGGCCTACATCGTCATCAACCCCAATACCGTCTTCGTCTTCGACGCCAAAGCCGTCTTCATCTTCAACACCGAAGCCATCCTCTTCGCCCACTCCCATACAGCCTTCTTCCACGATTGCATCCTCGACACTCATCTCGAGCCCATCTCCGTACGTCCCTATAGCACGAGATGCCGCACACCGCAAATAGCTAACATCTCCACAGCACGCCCACAGGCACACCAAGCTGCGGCATTGTAGCATACGTCAAGACCACACCAGCCTACTACTTCGAGTCCAGCGGTACGAAAAACACGTTCCAAGCCTGTAGCGCGCTCTGCAAGGCCGATAGCAAGTGCCTGAGTTTTGGCTACGGTGAAGCCAACTGCATGCTTTTCGACGTTACTGCGTAAGTCCAGCTCCTTTGCGTAGTCCCAACCTCTTGCTGACTGTATTCGTAGTATCGACAACACCAACTACAATCCCATGAGCCCGTACACATTCTACGATGCCGCATGCCCCGCAGAGCTACCGGTACGTAAGCGTCAACTGGACATCTCGCTTGGTTTGCCAGGGGGCATCCACATCTCGCTTGGCCTCGGCAGCGGCGAGATATCCTCTGCATGCTCGTGCTTCATTACGAGGGGCCCAGCTAGTACGACAGTCACAAGGACAGTTTCCAGCGCGGTTGTCAGGACGAGCACTGTGACCAGCACTGTCACGAGAACGAGGGTCCCTGGTGCTGAGTGAACTAGACCACGGGAAGGAAGGACGGGCTGTTGATGAATAGACTGAGATAGTGTTGCATGTTTACTTCATTGTTCATCGCGTGTCCCCTTCCTGTTTAGATTGTCAGGTCCAACGTACTCTCTGAACTCAACATATGTCCACGGGCTTCTGGCTTGAATGCCTTTCTACCACCCATGAGATGCATGCGTGCTACCATCTCACGGACGGTGCTGCAGCTGCATGGCCGCGCATCAACTGCCTTGATGGCTAGGCTGGACATCGCATGGTCTAGGACATCATGATCTGTGAGCCATTGGTCTTGTTCCAAATTTGCTGCGTGTCCCTCGTCTTCCTGACAATGGCCCTTGCATGCTGGCTGAAAGCAGCTTCGTTGCGTATGTCATACCACGGCGGTCTTCGGGTCGTATGCGTCGGCGCGCTCGACGTGGTAGTTGTGCCGCTACGGGAGATGTCTGGGACTTTCCATGGAACCATGGAATGGCCGTTCATATTGAGACTATCGCGCGCGGAATATGGTCGACATTAGAGGGTTGGCAACCGAGGAAGGCTTCGGCGAAAGCGAATAGACCATGCTCTTAGCTGTAGCTTGTCAGCGACTGTACGTACAGACGCGGCGGTCTATATAACATACCCTGTGTAGGTCGCTAGCGTCGCAGCTGATACTCAACGAGAACATGCCTTTGGCGATGTCTCTTCTCATTGTCCAGCGCGCTTTCAGAGAAGTCGCGCTTCGTCGCGAACGGCAACGCGTCAAACGGCTTCACACGTCGCGATTGCAGCCTAGCTG